CCAATCATTTATATGTTGGTCTATATTTTTGGTATTTAACCGCTTTGGATTTATCCCTTAACATATATAATCATATTATCGATGTGATATTCACGTTTAATTTATCCATCTCTAGTGTTCTTATGATTACTTTGAATGTTCTTCACCTTATTGCTAAGATGTTACATGGTCCGGAGAATATATGACATTGTATGCTGTGTGGGTCCAATCTGTGCAATCATCTGTCCGAATTGAGTGTCATGAATGTGTTTCTTGTGATTGATTTGTTGTGATATCTCAAGTCAGTTATCACTTGGGAGATTTGATAGACATTGACCAGAAACTATTATGGCTGTAGCATGTGGTATTCATCTATATTTGCGTTTCCATACTGTTGTTGAACCATCCAATTATGGTAAGGACATCCTTTTTTCGTCTTGACAATGGTTACAAGCCTGGGACCGACCAAGGAAACAAAGGCTGACAACTAGGCCTGCAAGATAAAGCACCTAAGAATCGGGATCGAAACATACCAATTACCAAATCCACCTATCTTCGCTGGCATAACCCTAAAATAGATCATTACCAACTGAGGCTTCCAAGCCAACTTGATTAGCTTGCGAAGGATGAATGAGACCACATGGAAATGTGAACGTTTCTCTTCATTCAAGATTCATTTTCCTTAAACATTGACGGTGTTTATTTATAATATTAGAGAGAGGTCTTCAAGTCCAGGAGGATGGGACATTTGCTAATTGCATACTAAGAATAATATGTGATGAATGCAACATCAATGAGATCGGAGCGTCTGTTAAAACTTTGCTTAGTTAATTCTATGAAGAGTTTCTGTGCTATTCATTGTTCAAATGTATGTAATGAATTAAGGTGCACTGAGGAGAATGTCTCTATTCGAAGTGACTGACTGGGCTTTATTTTAAGCCTTCTGGTTACAATATTTTTTGACTTCTAGTGATGAAAAATTAATTTTGTGTTGTTTATGTGACTATTATTATCATTCGTGAGACGAAAATAGAACAAAATTTAATAGCTTCACTTCTTAAATGACATAGTTTTTCCTTTTTCCATCTTTTTTCACATTACACCATCTTCAATGGGGGACTGCTAGATCACAAAATTACTTAGAAGTTGTACTGTGTGACAATTGCTTGCATTTATCTACTTCATACTTTTATAGGAGTCTATTTTCAGTATTATTTTGATCACAATGACAAACAAAGACCGATTCTCAACATTTAGCATATGTCTGGATAAGTGTTTCTAGGCGTTTAAACACCTTGATCAAATAATACTTTTGGTTAAACCACTTTTTATCCACACATTTAGTAGGACCACAAGTATGGACCACTTCTCCATTTACCCCTGGTTATAATAATAACTCTAAGATGAAATTAAAGTTTTCCTGAAAATTATAACATAAACATTTGGTACTTCTGACAGTTGTAGATATGTGTCTTTGCAATTTTTTTACTTAGTTCACATTGTGACTGTTGAACCTCTTTGTGTTTTTTAGTGGAAATCATATTGCTATAACATTTGGTGGATAAATCATATCTTTTACATACAGAATATCAGATATACATGGCTTTGTAGAAGTGTCTTGGACATGTGGCTTCGTAGTGAAATTGTGTACATTCTAACTCTGTGATACCAATATGTTATCTTAAGATGTTTATATGGACACTTGCAAATAAATTGTTAGATAGATCATGTCTGCACTGAGATTAGTTAGATCTCCGGGGACAGACTTTTTCCCTGTAAAATTCTGCAACTAATCAGGAATGCTGACATTCCCCTTATCGTGTGAAATTTATGTAGTTCATTTGTACTAGTAGTGTGTTGTGATACCTTAATAAATAGTTCTTTGCTGGTTTTAGTTTAAAAGAACAGGGATGGAGATATAGCAAGGGGAGAACATAGTGCAAATTAAAGACTCCTTCCAGATTAATAGCTGTAATAGACGTAACAAAGAATGCATTTGATAGACATTCTGACATTTGTGTTGTAAATTCTACGATTTGACTATAATTTATCTGCAGTTTAAAAGCAAAACTTTTCTGAATTCTTTGTAGAACTTTTGGTTTCTAATGCTTGCTTGATAAGCAGGTACCTTAAAGCTTTCACCTTTCTGGAGGACTGGATTGAAATCTTAGATAGCTAGTTTTCCCTGCACTTGGGTTCGTAAGAAAGCAGCCACTTTAGGGTCGTGGAAGTTACTACCTTTTGTGCAACTGAAACTGCCCTTCGAGATTCTTCTGGGGACCTCTTCCCTCAGATATTTTTTTCCTCATTTGGGGAAAGAAGTGCAGTTTGATTGTTTGGGTGTTTAGTTCTTATCAATTTTGTTAGTTTGTCTATATACATCAATAAATATGGTCTGTTAGCGCGTTGTTAAAAAGATTGAATAATGGCGCATTACACAGAAGAGGAACAAACCGAGGATTACCTTTTCAAGATTGTTTTAATTGGTGATTCAGCTGTAGGTAAATCGAACTTACTGGCTAGATTTGCAAGAGATGAGTTTTACCCTAATTCAAAATCAACTATTGGGGTAGAGTTTCAGACCCAGAAGATGGAAATTAATGGGAAGGAAGTCAAGGCTCAGATTTGGGACACAGCTGGTCAGGAGCGGTTCAGGGCTGTTACATCTGCATATTACAGAGGTGCAGTTGGAGCTCTTCTGGTCTACGACATCAGTCGACGCCAGACCTTTGATAGCATTGGCAGATGGCTTAATGAACTTCACAGTAAGCAACCCGACATTCAAACATTTCACATAATTTTTATTTATGCGCCTTTTCTTTTTCCGTTGAAAATACAATAGAACCTTTCACCAGGTACTCATTACAATCATTATCAGCACGACATTCACCACCCTAAAGATTATGGTTTTCTTCTATGTTTGTGCTATTCTTTAAAAAAAAAAAA